TAACAGGGTAACAGTCAAATCGCGATACCCCATCCCCCGCGCCGACGAACTGATCGACCAACTGCGAACAGCACGAGTCTTTTCGAAAATAGATTTACGGGGAGGTTACCATCAGATTCGGGTCGAACCATCGGACTGCGCCAAAACAGCATTTAGGACTAGGTACGGGTCATTCGAGTATACAGTAATGCCATTCGGGTTGACGAACGCGCCTGCGACATTTCAGATGACCATGAACGAGGCGTTTATACCACTTTTAGATAAATGCGTGATAGTTTACCTGGACGATATTCTAGTTCACAGCCGGGATAAGCAGCAGCACTTAGTGGATCTTGAAGCGGTTTTTAAAGTTTTGGAGGAACATCGGCTACTCACCAAGGGCTCCAAGTGCGAGTTTTTTCGGGACAGGCTAGAGTTTTGGGTCACGTCATTTCGTAGGCTGGGGTTGAGATTGACCCAAAGAAGCTGGATACGGTAAAAGCGTGGCGCCCCCCGACGAACATCACGGAACTGCAGAGTTTTTTAGGTTTTGTTAATTACGTTCGACGGTTCGTGCCCGACATGGCACGTTTAACAGCCCCACTCACTGATTGACTGCGTAAGGGGGTCGCTTTTACGTGGGGGGGAGAAAGAGCATGGTGCCTTCTCTGCCCTGAAAAACGTTCTCTGTTCACCACCCGTTCTACGCATCGCTGATCCCCACCGCCCTTTCGAAGTGGTTACCGACGCAAGTGACATCGCCATCGGAGCTGTACTGTTACAGGACTTCGGCGACGGCCTCCAACCCATCGCCTACGAATCACGCAAACTACATCCGCCTGAGCGAAATTACCCGATACACGACCGCGAAATGCTCGCAATCGTGCACGCATTCAAAGTGTGGCGCTGCTACTTGACCGGTGCAGACGTGACCGTACGGACAGACCATCGATCTCTACAGTACCTCCGCGCACAGCCCCACCTCAACCCACGACAGATTCGATGGCTCGATTTCATCGAGTCGAATTTTCACTATACGGTCACATACAAAAAAGGAGCCTCGAATATTGCCGACGCACTGACCCGCCCCACTGCCCAGATCCACGCGATACTACTCGCCCAGACCAGCCCGCTACTGACAGGCCTATTTACCCACGGATATCAAACAGACCCGCTCTTTACAGGAGGCAACTCACAGCAATTCGCAGCGGCAAAAGGAGTCTATTACGTAAAAGCTGGAACCGACCGCATCTGGGTACCAGGATACACGCTACTGCGGGAACTACTGTTACAGGAAGCACACGACGGAGTTACCTCGGGACATTTCGGGGTAGAAAAAACACGGCAGCAGCTGCAGCGGTACTACTACTGGCCAGAAATGTTAACCGATGTGCAACGACACGTGGCATCGTGTCCCACTTGCCAACTGGGCTACCAGCTGGGGCGAGTGGGAATGACGTGATCCTGGTCGTCGTCGATCGACTAACGAAGATGGCTCATTTCGCAGCATGCAGGAAATCAATCACAGCCGAGGAAACCGCCCGACTCTTCATCACCACCGTCGTTCGACTGCACGGGATACCCACATCGATCATCAGCGACAGGGACACGAAATTTACAAGCAACTTCTGGCGGAACCTATGGCAGCAGTTCGGCACACGCTTACAGTTCAGTTCATCCTATCACCCCGAAACCGACGGACAGACAGAACGGACAAATCAGACCATGGAGCAGCTGATTCGAGCCACGTGCGACGATCCGAATACGTGGGAACAGCAGCTGCCACTCATCGAGTTCGCATACAATAACGCACCATCAGCCACGACGCAACAGTCGCCGTTTTACTTGAATTACGGACAGGACCCAACAGTACCCTTGACACCGAATCCCGACAACCCCGTCCCACGAGCACAACAGTTCGCCGAGATTCTGCAAGCAGCACGGACCAGGGCAGCAGAAGCAATCAAAAAATCAAACATCATCGCTAAACGCAACGCCGATCGCCATCGCAGACCCGTTACTTATCAGCCCGACGACCTCGTTTTACTCGACACTCAGAACCTCCGCCTGCCCATCACTCCAAAACTCCGCCCTCGATACTGTGGGCCATTTCGAATCAGTCACATGGTTACGCCAGTCACCGCGCACCTCCTCCTCCCTGCTGACTGGTACGTCAGCCCCTCGTTCCACGTCAGCTTGCTTCGCCCTTACGTGCCATCCACCAGCCACCTCCCACGACATCGACCCACCAGCATGACACGACCACCAACCGAACCAGTCATCACCCCCGACAAGATCCTGAGCCACAGAGTTCGCGACCCTCGAGGAGCCCGAAAAGTAGAGTTTCTGATCCGCTGGAAAGATCGTACCCCCACCGAGGACAATTGGGTTCCCCTGGAGAAAATTGAAAATCACCCCGTCGTCACCGACTACCTACGTAGCCGCAATTTCCGAGACATCCACGCGCTTTCATAAGGAGGACCTCCTTAGGAGGGGGGGTAGTGTAAGGAAATTCCCTTTTCCTTACTTCGCGTCCCTGCTCAACGCGTACATCACTGTAGCACCTCAGTCAGCACCGTTACCACTCGCGACCATCACATCATTCATCATCCCGCCCTTTTCACACATCGCATCCCGACCTCACGGCTCGGCTGGTAACCCGCGCTCCGGGCCTACGCTTCGACACTTTCCCAACCTCAGTCCCAGGCTCGTCGCGCGACCATTACCGTTACCACTATAGTTTCGCTATATAATGTTCGCTCATGCCTTCGCTCATTTGTATTCTTGCTTCGATAGTGCAATTCTAGTTCGTTCACTCAATTGCACTCGTAACAATATTTCGAAACTCCGTCCACGCTCTAACGAGTTTTGCTTCCACACCGACCATGCTCTCCTCCACCACACCACCAGAGTTGTGGTTCCCTCTGGAGTCCAGCCAGACTCCTCCAAGGCTTCTGGACAACAGGCTTGAACCATGGAAAGTGGAGCACCCACACACCAGACGAATGGGACTTTGCTGTGAATGGTTGCCACAATACCGCTCAGTCGGTATTGGAAGGTTTCGAGATATTTGTTGGTTTTTTGTTTTTCGCCAGCCCGTTGTTGGAGATGTGGATGCAGTACACCACAGAGCACACAACGTGGGCTTGGGAATGGATGGATCAACAACAGACATCTGACAAAACTAAAATACACCCTGTTTCTCGACCCTCTCACCTTGCGCGATTCGCTGCTACAGTGCGGTCAGGTGCCATAAACCGTATGGCTGAAACCTGCGGGCAAAGCCGCACCAGCTGACGGAGTGGTACTGGGGGCAAAAATTTTCTTTATCGCTGTATACCCTTTTTAACCGCTTTGAAACGCTTGGTTAATGTTTTTTACCATGCAGCATCCTAGCTAACCGCTTTCTTGTGAATGTGCTTGTACCGTCGGTGATAAGACCATTTCAAACGTGGTGACGTTCTACAACCAGTACGTGTTCTGCAACCAGATGCTCTGCTAGCGCGAAACAGGGTGTACAGACATCAACAAGCAGAGGTAGATTCTCACCCAAGGGGTGCATATTCCAATCCTCAAGGCAGCCACGTCATCCCGCAGCTATGAAGCACCATGCCCTATATTCCGCCACACTCGATCGGGATTCCCCTCGCTTGGCTGACTCACCTCGGTGTGCGCAAGCTATAGGGTCTTCCGCAGCGCAGGGTCTCCTTCGGCGCACCGTTTCAGGCGTGTCATTGCAGCGCACAGCATTTTGCGGAGGTGGCACATGCTCGGCCTCTCATGTCATGCCACTGTGCCAAGCGACGAAGAAATGCCCAACCACCGCACAGCGCCTCCGCTATGCGACCATCAGCGTCAGGTGGGATTCTTCCGCATCGCAGCGATGAATGTGGGTCGAAAAGCAGAGGCAGAGGGAACGTGCCGTTATAGGTTTCGTACAGTAGCTTCGTTCGCACCCCATGTATTTGCGGTGTACGCGAACATGTCTAATTTGAACGAAACACTTCCCCTCCCCCGCCTGCCTGTGACAAGTGACCACCAGTCTCCCCGCATGCGCTCCGCATGGTCCTTCCCGTTCGTTCCGTCCGTCCCTCCATCGCATCGCAGCTGGCGCGACGACGAGGCATCGGCGGAAAGTCATTTCGCGGCTTCGCTACACCATCCGCCCGAACGTCGCACCAACCAAATGCTGCTTCTTCACTCCCGATTTCGTGATCCGACGCGCCTCCACTTCCCCCACCAGCGCGGATTCGCAGGCAGTCAGTTAGTCAATTTTCCCCGAAACCCTACCCAGCTGCACCAGCTCCCTTGGGATGAATGGGCGAGAGGATGGCTGAATTCGGGCGACTCGTGCACTGTTGCGCACAGCAGAATGGCAGCACCAGCAGCAGCAGATCGACAGCACGGCAAAGCCGCAGCATTGACGCGCACAACTGTACACGTTATCCATAACCAGCACGACCACGCACGCAGATCAACCTAACCCAACCTAACCCCAACCAACGCGCCTGTTCCGTTGAACTTGGCTGGGCCTGCCTATCCTGCCCTACCTCAAGCTAGTTTATAACGGCAGGTCGAACAGGACTTAGCCTTCTTCTCCCTTTTTTTTTTGGAGCTTGCATTTGTTCTAACGTGATCCTAGGCATTTCTCCACCATGAAGACCATTCCCATGCGAGTCTCATGTCCCACAATATCCAAATTAGCACGGAAGAATGTCACTCTGTCTCCTAAGTCACGGTCTCCCGTGTCATCCTCCTCCCACATCTCTCTAGCTCGCTCCATTCCCTCCGTACGATTGCTCTCATCATCGTCTTCCCGTTCTCGTTCCAGCTCCTCGCGTCCATCCTCGTTACTAGCCGTTTCTTCCTCCGAAAACTTGGCTCTCCTCGAATCTCCATCCTCCCTTTCCCTCTCTATACCCGCTCTCTCCTCCGCTTCACGGCGATGGCTAAAGACGCGCGGTCCCAGTCCGTCGCTCCGCCGGCAGGGCCTGTCGAGGAGAATCCTTACGAGAAGTTCCATGGCTCCTGCCGCGCCCGGTGGGTGCTGGCAACCGCAGTCCCCCGCCACAGCCACCAGCACCGACAGTCTCAGCGCCTCATCCGCCGCCAGTCCCGGCGGCTGCAGCAGCAATAGTAGTTTGGCGGCAGGAGAACCAGAGGCGGCGAGCTTGTCACCGCGCACGAGTAACTCTGGAAGCGAGTCGGCGGGGTTTCTATCCTCTCCTCGGACCTTTGCCCCTCCTCTAGAGCCGCAAACCCTCGCGGGGAAATGGCTCCTACGGCTGCTTGCGTCGGTTCCGGCTATGGTACCAACTGCGGTCGATGCCGAGTTGCGAAGACTGCAGGAGGAAGCGGCAGTTGGCGAAGGTGCTAACGACTTTAGCGACAGAACCAGTTTCGTCGACGAATCCGTTTTCGCCGTGCTAGGGCGCGCAAACGGCGCGGCCGCAGTGTCATTGAATCTAATCCAAGGAGAATCTATAGACGAAGCTCGATGGGTGGATGAGGCAAACTTACTACAAAGGTACAACCCTCACTAAACGTGACACCTGATTTTAAAGCCTTATACCTATAGGCCCTGTCCTCTAAGACAGCTCGTTGAAATATCAAGTTCTTCCGAGGCTTCCACGTATTCTCTTCTCGTGGACGTATTCCAATTTGTGCAGATTCTTAGACCTAATCCCGTCCTGCACAGAAGTTGCGCGACGCTGAATTGGACTTGATCCTGTTTCGATACGCCTCCTTTATCCCGCTCGCGTTTCCTGATGTCGTTCACTTATTCCCTCCACTCATTCGGCATCTATTTCTAAGCCGCTCGTTCGCTGCTCATTTCCTTCCATCTTGCGTGTTTCTCCGTAATTTCAGCCGCATCTGGCGCCTCCAACGCCGCGACCAACATGACGAGCTTCAAGAGCTCCTTTACGCGTTAGTAGCGCTCCAATTCGTTTCACAAGGCCATACGCCGCTTCTCCGCACGTTGCCTTTACTACCCGCGCTCCCGCCGTCTCCTTGGCAACGAGTTAACACCTACAACCGCGATGACACCAACAGCCGCACAACCACCGCTAACTCCAACAGCCGCGATAACCTCAGCGCTTCGACGGCAGTTTCTCGGGTTGCCGCTAACTCATCCGCCACTTTCTTTACCAATCAGTCGGCCGCCGTGACTCCCGCCGCTTCAGCCGCCGCCGCTTGCTGCACGGGTCTGCGTAAGATGCTCTCGCCGACCGTCCGAGGGATGGTTTCGCGACACCTGGCGATGGTTATGGCGAGCCAGCTGGAGCAAGCGCCACGTGGCGTTCCTACCAGCGGGAACGACGGAGACAGGAGTAGCGGCAACAGCGCGAATAGCGGCGGCATTAGAGGCACTAACGCGGAAAGCAGTGGCACGAGCGGTATAAGGAACGTCGGCGCAGTGGCACGGCCGTACGGTCCGGGGGTTCTAAAGAGCTCGCGACTGCGGCTAGGTCAAATTTACGCGTCGTCGATAACCTATGGGTATTTTCTCCGACAGGTGGACTTACGACTGGAACTTGAAGCGTGCTGGCAGCTAAACCAAGCGAGTCTCCTGGAAGGAATGTTGCTGCTGGCTGGCGGGGAAAACTGCGAACAGTACCAGCAGCAGCAGCAGCAGGTGCCTGTCAAGCGGGCTCTAGAACAGACTAGCAGACCAACAGCGGGAGGGGCGGCGGAATCCTCGGGTTCTACTGGAGCAGCTTCTTCCGTATTAGCCTCCTCTCCGGGTGAAATCCGGCGAGTGTCACCCGGTCGCGAGCTGCCAAGCCTGGACGGAGAGGTTACCGGCTCGCAGGCTAGGGAAAGTGCTGAGACTATTAGGTCTAAAGTTGGAGCGGCCCAGATTCAGCGGAATTATCTGGAGCGGTGCTGGCATGGGGCTTGTGATGGGACCGCGGGGGGCGCGGGGAACGCGGGAGGGGGAATGCGGAAGGCGGACATTGGCGCGTACTTGCGCAGGATGGATCCTGGTTTGATTCGGCAACTGAGCAAGATCCACAGCAGGTTAGTTTGTGGCTCTGAAGTATTTGTCCTGCCCTGTCGGTTCTGTCGGATAACTTTCAGCGTTTTTTCCTTGTCGCCTTCTCCACTATTATCGGTTTTGCTCCTCTTCTGCATGTTTGATCCATGCCTCCCTTAACTATTTTTTGGCTACAATATGTATGTATGTATGTATGTATGTATGTATGTATATATGTATGTATGTATGTATGTATGTATGTATGTATGTATGTATGTATGTATGTATGTATGTATGTATGTATGTATGTATGTATGTATGTATGTATGTATGTATGTATGTATGTATGTATGTATGTATGTATGTATGTATTTTCTTTCTCCTCTGCTTTCATTGTCATTCGTCCACTTCATGGCTAACTATTTTCTCACTGCCTCTTTACCTCTTGTCTCCACCTTCCCCCATTTCTTTTTACAGGGAGTCGCTTAGGGTGATTGAAAGGCACACTGAAGCGCTGTTCGGTCCTCCTGTGTGGGAAGAGGGAGCCGACGGTTCCCTGGCAGTGCGTGATGAGGTGGTGTGGCTGACTGCGGGCGGTGTTGAGCGGCTGGTTCTGGAAGCTGTGGCTTTTGGGTGCGCTTTGCAGGATGCGGAAGAGTATGTGCACTCTATTCACTCCATCCGGTGACGATTCTTTTGCAGAAGCAAAGGGAAAATGGAGGATGCGGGGGGTGGGAGAGAAGGGTTGAGGATGCGCAGAGTTTTGCAAGATGTAGATAGTGGTTGGCATTCCAATCCAATTAGCATTGGAAAGGAACAGCTGAGGCTGTCATGGCGTCCTTGTGCTAATGCGCTTGTTTTGCGTTGCGCTCAGAGACTTCTGCAAGCCTTCCCACCACCCTAGACTGTATATATTGTCCTCGGTTGTATTACATCGGATGAAGTTGCAGTGTTGGGGGTTTAGTGTCATGAATCTGTTTAGCTTGTTGATATTGGTAATGTATGATGAGACAAAGATTTTCATTCTTGTTTCATTATGGCAGCATTTGGTCATATTCTCATTCATCAAATCATGCGGTGCCAAGTGCTTGATTTCGGAACTTAGTACGCGATCAAACCGCATTGGAACGTGATGTAGCCAGATTCAACCGCACTAAACGAGCCCATACAGCCATCCCTCTCCATTCAAAGTTCACGGACGCTCAGACCTGCGGGCCGCGACAACACGGCCTGCTACCAAGCAAGGAACCAAGGACAAACAGAACAAGGCTTTCCTGTTTCGAGTAACGCCGCGCTCTTTACGTTCTCTGATATGCGCTGTTATCCCGCCTCCCGCGGGCTCCGCTTTCGCTCCGCTCGTCTGGTTCCGCATTCCGGCGCATCCCCCGCAATCAAGGTATCGCAAGCTCCCGCCGCACGCGCACGCGTTCTCCGCTTGCGCGCCTCGTGCTCGTTACCGCATTCGCCCGCATCTTCCGCGTATGCCGCGTCCCCCCTCCTTCCGATACATCCGCCTTTTCCCTCCGCACGTCGCGTTCTCTTACCTCCGCAAGCGGAGCTGATCAGGGTTACTGGAAAGGGCTTTGGCGGAGTAATTGAGCGCACGCGCGGCTGCGCCAGCCCTAGCGGAAGCGGGGACTGGCGGAAAAGTGTCCGCGGAGGTGATCAGCGGGAGCTGGCGCGGGGAGAGTCCGAGCAGTCAAGGATGCAAGCGGAATTGGCGGACGAATTGGCGCACTTAGGGGGGAATGGGGAAGGCGGAGAGTTCCCAATCACCCTAGGTTTGTGTGCGGAGAATGGCGGATTCTGAGCATCCTTCTTTTTCCCATTCCTTTCCCCCAAGTCTCCTCCCTTGGCTGAAAGTTCCATTGCAGTTCCCGCTCCCCCTGCTCCCCTCTGCGCCTCTCCTCCCACCCTTATGGTCCTCGCCTCTGCCCCCTGACATCTTTCCCTGCGCTCCCGTGCGTGTCCGCGTGGTCAGAATGTAACAAGCAGGAGCTCGCTCTTCTACCTGTCTCCCAACCTGTCTCTCTACCTGTCTACCTGTCTACCTACCTCGTTGATCCAGTTCCCTTGTCTCTTCCCTCCCGCCTGACATGACACTGTATGCTGTCGCCGCTTGCACGTCCCTTGCATGTCGCTTGCACGTCCCTTGCATGTCGCTTGCATGTTACTTGCATGTCGCTTGCACGTCCCTTGCATGTCGCTTGCACATCGCTGCATGTGCTGGTGAGACGTCTCATAGGCGCCCCTGCTGCTCTCTGTGTGTCGCTGCATGTCTGCGTGCGTGTGTGTGCGTGCTCATATGCATGCATGTCCGTATGCATGCATGCCCACATATGCATGCATGCCCATATGCATGCATGCCCGTGTGCATGCATGCCCATATGCATGCATGCCCATATGCATGCATGCCTGTGTGCATGCATGCCCATATGCATGCGTGACCGAATCTTCCACCACAGGAGTGCGAGCATGGCCGGAATGGAACGAAGGGGCTCTATTTGTGGATAAGATACAACTGGGCACAGCACGAGGTGAGAAACACACACAGAAAGTGAGGGACAACACTCAGACTGTGATGCGTCCCAATCCCATTCAACCCTGCCTTCCACCTTCCACCATCTGCCCTCTGCCCGCTACGCCCTACCCGGGGCCCTTTCCTCTGCACACGCCCTCGCCCTGGCAATCATGCTGCGTTCTCTTCACAACACATGCTCCCTGCCCACTGCTTTCATTGTGTGTCTCACATGTGTGCTTGTGGTTGTGCATGGCATGTATGGATGTGTTTGCGTGTGTGTGTGTGCGTGCGTGTGTGCGTGCGTGTGTATGTGTGTGTGTGTGTATGTGTGTGTGTGTGTGTGCGTGTGTGTGTGTGTGCGTGTGTGTGTGTGTGTGTGTGTGTGTGTGTGTGTGCAAGTGCGCGCGCGCGCATGCGCGTTTGTGTGTGCATGTGTGCACGTCTGCATGCATGCATGTCGGCATGTGTGCATGTGTGCACGGGCGTTCACAACCCCCAGCGCACACATCCATACTCGACTTCTACTGCCAACGCTACCCTCATTCCGCCTCCCCTCAAGGGTGCGTGCTTTGTATTGTAAGAGCCTGTTGCTGCCTCCAAATCTGCGTTGCATTTCAAGCCTCTGCTTCCCCAAGAAGGGTCTGAGGTTGAATGAATTCTCATCTCAAGGCATAGTAGCGGGGTTTAGAAATTTGAAGCTCACCCAAATTGAATTCTTATCTCTGGGCGTATATTTTGTATTCTTCGCGCGTGACCATTCACACCCCTGAGCCCCATGTGTGTGTGTTGATTTCCGCACGTATTGATGGCAGCACAGGTGGCTGAATCGCATTGGCAACGGTCAGGTGACTCCTCCTCTGCACTGCACCCCCTCACACCCTCCCTCTGCAGCCCCTTGCGGCACACACACATCACACACTTACATCATACACATCACACACTTACATCACACACATCACACACTTACATCACACACATCACACACTTACATCACACACATCACACACTTACATCACACACATCACACACTTACATCACACACATCACACACTTACATCACACACATCACACACTTTCATCACACACATCACACACATCACACACATCACACACTTACATCACACACATCACACACTTACATCACACACATCACACACTTACATCACACACATCACTGTTAAGGTCGACCTTCCATCCGTCTCTCTGTCCCAGTCACTCTCTTGAAATCTTTCTGTCCACCAGAAGTTGGAAATCACCCCAGTATACTCGTCCCATCCAATTGACTTTTGAGTCGACTCAAAAGTCAACTGAAATCACCCCAGTATACTCGTCCCATCCAATGAATGAACACCAACACTCGTCTTATCCTCTCATCCTCATATCCTCGCATCCTCTCATTTGCTCATCCGCTCATCCCCGCATCCTCACATCCCGTAGGTTACTCTCAACGGTATACAAGTCACCGACCCCGCGACCCCGCTCAGGTACCAGTGAGAGAAGAGGATAAGTACGGTAAAACCGCTCAGGTACCAGTGATCAGGTACCAGACTATTCATCTGCGGAAAGAGAAGGATACCATACCCGAGGTCCAGTCCCGCTCAGGTTCCAATGAGAGAAGAGGATGAGTACGATCAAAACCGCCGACCCAGGTACATGTGCAGTTGCTTGTTGCTATTCATCTGATACTTGTGAGAATTCTTGAAAGTCACACCAATATGGCTGTTCATCTAAGAAGACAAGGATAGTGTGGGGAGTGCGATCAAACACACCCTCATCTCTCCCTCTCTTCCCTCCTCCACCCTCTCATCTCTCCCTCTCATCTCTCCCTCCCATCTCTCCCTGTCAGCCCATCGGACTGTCTCTGCTACCACCGCACGCCCTGGTAGGAGCCCCCTGCGCCCTCCCCATGCTGCCCAGTGCTTTCCCTGTGTGCTCCACTCCTCTCCCTCCCCGCACCTATCCTTGTCACCCTGTGATGTCAGCCCATCGGACTGTCTCTGCTACCACCGCACGCCCTGGCAGGAGCCCCCTGCGCCGTGCCACTTCACCGTTCTCTTCCAGGACTCCCACGTGGTATGTGGTTGCATTGCAAGGTGGAGTAGAGTCTAGAGAGGTGAAACCCCAGCGACCTCTTATGCGCCTCAGGAGGAGCCCCCTGCGCCCTGCCGCTTCACCTCTCCCTTTCAGGACTCCCACGTGGTATGTGGGGAGGCTGCTGCTTCTCACCAAGGCACGCACCCTGCTGTTCCATCTGCTCTCTCTCTCTCTGCTCACCCATCCTTCTCTCACCATCCCTCTCCTCTCAACTAACCATCCTGTCCCCCTCACCACCCCCAACCCCGGCCTTACCCCCCCCAGCTTGTTCTTTCAAAGCCCAGCAGGCTGCAGGTGCTGAAGGGACCTCCCTTCCATCCACGCTCCCTTGCTCTTCTTCAACCCTTCTTCCTTCAGGCGTGTGTCCTTGGGGCAAAAAGATGGCCAAAGTTTGACCTTTAAAAGAGGTTGTACACGGCTGGATACAGTTGAGAGACGTGTCGCCACGGTTCTATCAACTGTATCCAGCCTAAAAAGCGGTTGGAGTTCAAACTTCGACAATTTTCGCCAGGACAGACGCCCTTAACCCTAGCCTGATTCACCCTCGTCTCTCCCCCATGCCCCCTCTCCCCTCTACCCCCTCCCTTCCATCAGCTGGTGCTATCAAAGCCCAGCGGCCTGCAGGTGCTGAGAGGAGCGCCCTTCCATCAACGCACCCTGCTTTCTCTGCTCGCCCTGCATGCACGCAACCGACTGGTACCAGTGCCACTGCCGGCAACAGAAGTAGAGGCAGCAGAACTAGCAGAAGGGACAGCAACAGACAGGGTGCCGAGTGCCGCAGAAGGGGTAGCAGCAGCGCGGGGTGCAGAGTCGAATGGTGCACGCGCAGCAGACAGTGCCTGTGCGAGCCAGCAGAGTGCAGAAGGGACAGCGACAGGGGTAGCAGCAGCAGCAGCAGCAGCAGCAGCAGCAAAGAGTGCAGTATCCAACGGTGCACATGCGGCAGACTGTGCAAGGCAGCTGAATGTTACTTTGCAAGCGGGCAGCCAGGAACGCGGACAGCAACAACAACAACAACAACAGCAACAGCAACAGCAACAGCAGAAAGAGTGCGGGATAGACTGGGCACGAGACACAATGGAGCCGGTGCTGGGAATGGCCTCTCCTGCTCACAGGATAGGGCGTGGCACATCAGGTACTGACGGGGCGACTCACAACAGTGCAAGGAGTGGTCAGTGCGGTGCAAGGAGTGGTCAGTGGGGTGCAAGGAGTGGTCAGTGCAGCGCAAGGAATGGTCAGTGCGGTGTAAGGAATGGTCAGTGCGGTGCAAGGAGTGGTCAGTGCGGTGCAACGAGTGGTCAGTGCGGTGCAAGGAATGGTCAGTGCGGTGCAAGGAATGGTCAGTGCGATGCAAGGAATGGTCAGTGCGATGCAAGGAATGGTCAGTGCGGTGCAAGGAATGGTCAGTGCGGTGCAAGGAATGGTCAGTGCGGTGCAAGGAATGGTCAGTGCGATGCAAGGAATGGTCAGTGCGGTGCAAGGAATGGTCAGTGCGGTGCAAGGAATGTCTTCAACGGAGCCATCCGTGGAAGAAATGGATTTTCGTGCATCGATCAATGTTGCCATCCATGCATCCTATTGACTTACGACATCCATGCATTTATTGATGTTTCCGTGCTAATTTCTTGCCTCTCCCTCCCTCACTCCCCATCTCAGCCCCCACTGGTCTTCTAATCTGAGGCATCAGTGCAAGGGGCAAGGCTAAACTAGCTGCTGACCTTGCAGCTGCCACCACCAGTGCTGATGCTGCTGCCGATCCCTCCCACGCTCCCCATTTCATCTCCCACACAGTTCTTTCAATCTGCGGCATCACCCCTGTAGCCAAGGCTAATCTGGCTGCTGAAATTGCTGCTGCCACCAGCGATGCTGCTGCTCATCCCTCCCATCGCTCCCCGTCTCAACCACCCCACAGGTCTTCTAATCTGCGGCATCAGTGCTACAGGCAAGACTAAACTGGCGGCTGACTTTGCTTCTGCCACCACCAGTGGTGATGCTGCTGATCCCTCCTCCCACCACAAGGGTCCCCGGAGGAGAAAAGGCAGAAACAGCAGCAGGACCAGTGGGACCAGCGACAGCAACGAAAACGGCAGCAGCGGCAACGAGAACAGCAGCAGCTGCAGCGGCAGCGGCAGCGTTAGCAGCAGCAGTAAGGGCCGAGGCAGTGGCAATGGAAGTGCAGACAATGGCAGTGACAACAGTGACTGCTGCCCCCGCATTGTTGAAAACAGTGACAGCTGCCCCCGCATTGTCAAGTACTACAGGGCTCTCGTGCAGGGGGTGGTGGTGCCCGATGAGGTGAGGTGCAGTGCGGTGTGGTGTGGTGAGAGGAGGTAAGGTGAGTGCTGTTTTCAGGGAACGACGTGGTGAAGGCTCAGGGCGTGTCCAGCGCGTTCATTTTGGGTTTTTTAGTACCTTCTCACGTTTCACAGTTCAAGAAAGCTCACTGTACCTTAAAACGAATCCATGGTGAGTCGAGTCCATAATGCCTGTGCATTCGAGCGCGCGGACACAACCACCCCCAACGCAAATTTCTCCAGTGCTCCGATCGCGTGGAAACCAAGTGAACTGTTTCCCTCGTCAATTGTCGCGCAGGAATTTTCGTGCAAGCGAAAATTTCGCGCATGAACGAAAATCACTGTACAGGGCAGGACACAGTCCTGTACCCTTGTTCGTGCAGACGCTGATTCTAGTAACGTGAGTCAGACGACTCGATGTACGTGCGGGGGGCGTGCCGTCTCGTGAACGGAAGCTGAAAGTGTCCAATTTTTTTGTAAAATGCAGTGTTACAACCCAAAATAAGGTGATCGAGCGGATTTAGGAACTGTAAATGAACGCGCTGGACACCCCCTCATGCCTCATCCCATCTTCCCGTCTTCCAATCCCTCCATACTCCCTTCCTCCCTTCCTCCCATTCTTCCATCCCCCCATTTCATTCCCCCATTCCCCATTCCTGCGTGCAGCAAACAGTGCAGGTGCCCATTGGTCGAGTGCGGTACGGCGCGGTGGTAGGAGGACTCTACATGGCGTCCCCAACAGGTGTGTGCTGCGCTCACCATGCGTCCACAACCCCATCTCCACCATCTCAATCTTCTTCCCCCCACCCCACCCCATCTCCATCCCATCCCCACCCGCTTCCCAACCCCATCCACACCACACCCCATTTCCAACCCAGGCCCAACCCATTGCCAACCCATCCCCACCCGTACCCACCTGTCCCCTCTCCAGTTTCAATCGCCTCAACGTGCATGTCTCTATCCCTGACAACACATGTACAAGCACAATCACATGTGCGCCAGATTGTCTTTAGACGCATCCCTCCATCCCACTACACTCCGTCCCAGTCTTGAAATTTCTAAAAAGCGACCCCTGTCATACACTGTGTGCATGTGCATGTGATTGTGCATGTGCCATGACCTGCCCTTCCCTGCTCTCTGCATGCTCCACACCAGGCAAGCCAGCAGTGAGTGTGCTGCGTGTGCTGCATCGGCACATGCACACCAACCAGACCTTGCTCGAGGTAAATTATCTGCTCACCTCATGCTTTCTGAGCTGAACCTTATGTATGCCATAGATTCAACCCCTGTCGCACCCTCATCCACGATTGTGCTGCGTGTGCTGCGTGTGCTGCATCTACACGGGGACGCCAGCCAAACCTTACTCTCGAGTAAACTCGCTTCCCTCTTGCTTTCTGCATCGCCAACCTGAATCAAATGTCTGCCGAGTCTGTTCGGAGGGTGCCTGTGTTCTCTGAACAACTGGATTTTTCGCCTCAAATATTCTCTCATTGTGCCCATGCCCATGCCCATGCCCATGCCCATGCCCATGCCCATGCCCATATGCTGGGTGCTGTCTGAGGCGCATCAAACGTCATGTTCTCTCACCCTTCTCCCTTCCCCCTCCCTTCCTCCCCTCTCCCCCCATCCCAGGTGCGCATATTCTCTGGTCGTGCACATCAGATTCACATTCACTGCATGTGCATGCCCTGCCCTACCCTGCCCCTCCCCCTCCCCTTACCCTCCCCTCCCCCCACCCACCCTCCCCATCCCCCCATCCCAGGTGCGCATATTCTCTGGTCGCGCACATCAAATCCGCATTCACTGTGCTGCCGCTGGTCATCCCCTCGTTGGTGAGTGAGTGGCATTCTTGCACAGGCTGGTGTGCAGTGGACGCATGTGCGAGCGTGTGTGTAATGAGGTGACTTTTGAGTCGACTCAAGAGTCATCCCCTAGTTGGTGAGTGGCATTCTTGCACAGGCTGGTGTGCAGTGGATGCATGTGCGAGCGTGTGTGTAATCCCCGCAGTTGCCGCAGTGCCACATAACCCTGCGTCTTATTCTCCTCTTTCCCCCACCTGCCCCATTTCGCATTCTCTCTTCCCGTCTTCTTCTTCTTCTTCTCCTCCTCCTCCTCCTCCTCCTCCTCCTCCTCCTCCTCCTCCTCCTCCTCCTCCTCCTCCTCCTCCTCCTCCTCCTCCTCCTCCTCCTCCTCCTCCTCCTCCCCCCCTCTAACTCTCCTTTTCCTTCTCGCTCCCTCTCTTCATGCAGGTGACCCTCTCTACGTCTCTGGGGGAATTACAGCCCCTGTGACGGGCTCGCTTCCTCAGCAGCACAGCCCCAACAGCCCCCATCACACACCCGTTCTGAGTCGACTCAAAGGTCTTCCTCTTCTCCCTCACTCCTTCCAGGTGACCCTCTCTACGTCTCTGGAGGCATTCCAGCCCCTGTGACGGGCTCGCTTCCTCTGCAGCACAGTGGCAGTGGCAGTAGCAGTAGTGGCGGCGGTGCTGGCAATAGTGACGCTGGCAGTGGCAGTAGCAGTGCTGCCAGTGCTGATGGTGCTGGCAGTGCTGATGGTGCTGGCAGCGCTGATGGTGCTGGCAGTGCGAGCCCCATCAGGCCGGGAGATACAGGCTATTGGCTGCACTCCTTCCGATGCCTCTTCCACCATCCCACATCTAACCAGGTCTGCTCTTCTTTCTCCCACCTTCTCCCCCCACTTCCCCCCACACCTCCTCCCACCCCCTCTCCTCTACCTCCCCACTCTTCCCGCCTTCCCCCGCTGCTTGCTTCCGCCATGCCTGTGTCTCTGCTATGCCCCAGTTGCAATCTCGGGGCTATGGTGTTTCTCACACCATGGTGCTCAAAAGGTAGTGTCCTGGTCTGCTCATGCTCTTATCGGTTGTCTTATAGTGGTTCTTAACTGCTTGCCTCTGTCAGGCTTTCCCATGCCTCTCTGCTCCATGCCCCTACATCTTCCCCTTGCATGTTTGCTTACCCCATGCCTCTCTGCCTGCTGCCTTCAGGTAATTCGAGTGGTAGCGCCTCCCCCCCCTGCCCTGCGCATGCCACACGAGACAGTTGCCTCCTTTCTGTCTGCATTCCAAGTCATGCCGCCCGATGCCATGATGGATTTATGGCACTGTTAGTGTGTTGTGATTTTTGTGAAGGAGGTTGCACAAAAGTTGCTGCAGGTGCCTTCACTTTGAGCATGCTGCTTACTGTTAGGAAATATTTCTATAGCCTCACCAATAGTTGGGATAGGAAAAGGAAGGCAGGCAGCAGGGCCCTAGATATCAGACTTTAGAGTCTGAATCAGAGTCAGTTCAGACTTTTTTTTGGTACCTAGTCTGCACTCTAAGAATTTTTGGTGGGGCCTTGTCTGATGTTTCAGAGTTTTTTTAACATACTTGTCTGTAAATTCAGACTATTTTTAGTAGTGTAGGCTGTGCCTCAGACTTGTATCGGGGGTGCATTCTGAATCCGATAATACAGGGGCAGGGTCCAGCCTGGCGGCGTGGAGCAGTAACCCCGTCGATCACGGGCGGGAACCCATGATTTCGCCAGCGCGACAACGCACAGTTGCGTTGGTACAGCGTTGCTGTAATCCCACCCAATTCTGACCAATCGCGGCTGCGCCGCAGGCAGTGTTGGCAAGATTCCTTGCCAACACATAGCTCGCCACGCACTGCACCTTCGCTGTACACCACGACCATCCACCACACCCCGCCTTCAATGTTGCCAGCGCATAGCTCGCAGCGCGCTGCCACTCTCACGTCACCACGTCCATCCACCCCACCCCACCTTCCCAGTTGCCAACGCAGGGCTCGCACCGCGTTGCTTCTCTCACGTGACTCCATCCATCAACCCCAATCACCCCACCTTCCAAGGATTCACGCCCAGGTGCAGTGCATGCAATGACCTTCTGGGAGATGGGAGGTCCTATTACACGAGGGTTTCTCATCTTCTTCTTGGTCACCGTTCTTGCAGTCTCTCTCATGGCCCGCTCCATTTGCCTGGACTCAAACTAGTGTAGGAGCCCTTGTTTCAGGCTCCCACCTCCTAGCTCGCTACACCTCTGCTCGGCAGGCTCAATGGCAGTTACAGAGGCTTGTTTCCATCCTCGGATGATGCAGTCGGTCGCCCAGTATCCGGCCCAGTATCCGACCCTCTCACCGGTCTAGATTTTCTTAGGTCTGTCCTACCGAAGCACAATCCACCTCCAACGCCACCGTCGCAACCTAGCTCGAGCCGCCCACCTATTCCCAGAGACACCACACCTCTGCACGAGGCCGTCACTGAACCAGCGACCGCTGCGCAACAGGCGGTGCCCCATGAGGCGTCTGTTGGTGCACCTTCTCGTCCCGCGCCACCGTCGAAGCTGCGGTACCGGCAGTCCACCCTTGGTTGGGCCACTCCGCCTCCTCCATCGACCGTTGTGACTCCTGCGGGCGACGATTCTCCCATGCAGGACAACTCCATGCCCATGCAGGGCAGTGTCAGATTTATATGACATAGTTGCTGTAGGCTATAGTGGGGTAGCACATATGGGGTACAGGGTTTCTAGGGTTGTATTTGTACCCAATCTTTCCTTAGTCATTTCATTCCTGTTTTCCTTGTTTCACATGGTATCAGAGCGGGTCCTACCTTAGGACCGTTTTTTTTAGGGCCCACCGAAGCGCGCCCCGAGGCGCGCCTTTTTTTTAGCGACCCCTCGGGTCGCCTTTTCCCTCGCGGCCCCGCTGTCCCTCAGACGCGGCCCCGCCACCTCTCCTGATCGCGGCCCCGCCGCCTGTTTGACGCGGCCCCGCCGCCTCCCCTGACGCGGCCCCGCCGCCTCCCCTGACGCGGCTCCGCCGCCTCCCCTGACGCGGCCCCGCCGCCTGTTTGACGCGGCCCCGCCGCCTTCCCTGACGCGGCCCCGCCGCCTCCCCTGACGCGGCTCCGCCGCCTCCCCTGACGCGGCACCGCCGCCTCCCCTGACGCGGCTCCGCCGCCTCCCCTGACGCGGCCCTGCCGCCTCCCCTGACTCGGCTCCGCCGCCTCCCCTGCCGGCCCGCCACTGCACCTGCCGGCCCGCCGCTGCTCCTGTCGGCCCGCCACTGCACCTGCCGGCCCGCCGCTGCACCCAGCGGCCCGCCGCCTCTGACGGCCTCGCCGCTGCACCTGCCGGCCCGCCGCCTCTGACGGCCTCGCCGCTGCACCTGCCGGCCCGCCACTGCACCCTACGGCCCGCCGCCTGCACCTGCCGGCCCGCCACTGCACCTGCCGGCCCGCCACTGCACCTGCCGGCCCGCCTCTGCACCTGCCGGCCCGCCGCTGCACCTGCCGGCCCGCCACTGCACCGGTCAACCCGCCGCTGCACCTGACGGCCCCGCCCCTGGATCTCCTGGCCGAGCCGCCCCAGCAGCCGAACCGCCCGTGAGCCGAGCCGCCCGACGCCGAGCCGCCCGGGACCCGAGCCGCCCTGCCGCCGAGCCGCCCGGGAGCCGAGCCGCCCTGCACCCGAGCCGCCCAGCCGCCGAGCCGCCCGGGAGCCGAGCCGCCCGGGAGCCGAGCCGCCCTGCGCCCGAGCCGCCCAGCAGCCGAGCCGCCCTGCACCCGAGCCGCCAGGTCGCTGAGCCGCCTTTCTGCATACCTACTCGACCTGCCCTGCCTGGTGAGCACAGTCCCACTGACACTGCGAGCTCTTTCCCTGCTGCTTGCACTGCGTCGCTGTCGTCGCCATGGCTACCCCTAGTGTCCTAGCTTTTGACGCTGAGGGTCGCGCCATTGATTTTGAGGTCTGGTTAGACGACCTGCAGCTGTTCTTACAGTGCGACAGGGCTGACGACCTTTCTCTCTTTGATCTCACCTCTGGCGCCTCTCCTGCTCCTGCTGCTGATGCTGATCCCGCTGTCCGCTCTAAGTGGGCCACCCGCGATGCTGCTGCACGTCTTGCTGTGCGTCGCCACCTCCCTACCTCTGAGCGTGCGCACTTTAGTCAGTACAAGAGTGCTCAGACCTTGTACGACGCTGTAGTTGCGCGCTACTCCTCCCGTGCCACTGCTGCACTGAGCCGTCTCATGCTTCCCTACCTCTTTCCTGACCTCTCTGCCTTTCCCACTGTCGATGACCTCATTACGCACCTCCGCACTAGTGACACTCGCTACCGCGCCGCCCTTCCTGCTGAGTTCTGCGCTAAGAACCCCCCCCCCATGTACATCGCTCTCTACTACGTAGTCGCGCGCCTCCCTGACTCCCTTCGCGTCGTCAGGGACCACTTTCTCGCAGTCTGTCCCACCACCCTCACCGTCGACCTCCTCGAGAAGGCCCTCCTTGCAGCGGAGAAGAGCATAGTCGCTGTAGGTGCTTCTCGTGGTGACCCTCGCACCCCCATCTTTGAGGGGTGCTCTCCTTCCCCCTTGCTGCCCTCTGTTGCCTCTACTGCTGCTGCCGACCTGCTTGGTCTTGAGTCGGTCAGCGCGGCGTCTGCCCCTAGTGGGAGACGTCGCTCCAGCAAGGGCAAGGGGGGCAAGGGCGCGGGTGGAGCTGGAGGGGGCGGTGGCGGTGGCGGCGGTGGCGGCGGAGGGAGTGGGGGTGGCGGCGGGACTAGTGGCGGGGGTGGTGGTGGTGGTGGTGGCAGCAGCGGCGGAGACGGTGGTGGTGGTGCCAGCGGTGGTGGTGGAGGCAGCGGCGGAGGTGGAGGCGGCGGAGGTGGAGGCGGTGGAGGCGGCAGCGGAGGAGGCGGTGGTGGTGGAGGAGGTGGAGCTGGTCGGGGTGGTACCCAGCTGCGTAGCGGCGGTGGTGGTGGCCAGCGCTCGCACCGGCAGCAGCAGCAGCGCTCGCGGGACATCCCTTCGCCTCAGCAGCTTCGTGAGTGGTACGCTGGGCGTCAGAGGGGTGGGGGTACTGGTCCCTGCACCTACGTTCTTCGTTCCGGCGACCGCGCGGGTGAGCAGTGTGGGGGTGCCCACGCCACCCAGCGCTGCTTTGGCCGCCTGACGGACGCCTGGCGTCAGCAGTTCCCTGGGGCTAGTGAGATCCCTCGCTGGGATGAGCTTCTCAGGGCTGGTGTAGCGATCTTTGATCTTGATTTTGATGCTATCCTTACTGCTATGTATGTTGTGGATTATAGTGAGGAGAATGAGGGTTACCGCTGTTTCCAGCCCGGCCCGGGCATTGGTACTGCTGCGCTAGGTGCTTGTGAGGCTGCTGCTCTAGGTGCCAGTGCGTCTGCGCTCTCAGGTACTGGTGAGACTGCGCTCTCAGGTACTGAGTCGTCCTCGTCCTCCCTCACTTTCACACTTGACTCCGGAGCTTCTCGCTCCTTCTTTCGAGACCGCACTACCCTTACGCCACTCGGCCGGCCGGTTGCAGTCTCCCTTGCTGACCCCTCTGGGGGTCCTGTCCTGTCTCACTTCTCCACTGTCCTCCCGTGTCCGGCTGCCCCTTCGGGCACCCTGTCGGGTCTGTACCTTCCCTCGTTCTCTACGAACTTGGTGAGTGGAGCGGACCTGCAGGATGTGGGTGTTCACCAGTTCACTCCTGCGAGTCAGCGGGTGACCCACTGCACGGAGGCACGCACAGGCCGACACCTGGCCACGTTCTCGCGTCGGCCGGGGTCGAGTCTCTACACCCTGACCGTTGAGTCTCCTCCTGTCCCTGCGTCTGGTCAGGTGGCTGCGTCGGGTCAGGTACTTGCTGCTGCGTCCCGGTCAGGTCCTGAGTCTGCCCCCTGTTCTTGTCGCCTCCTGTCTCACGAGACTCTCCTGTGGCACCACCGTCTTGGCCACCCCTCCTTGCCCCGTCTTCGGAGCATGGCTTCCCGTGTCCTTGTCTCTGGTCTTCCCCAGTCTCTCCCTCCTCTCCCCTCCGGGCCAGGACCTTCCTGTGTCCCCTGTGTCGAGGGTCGCCTCCGGGCTACTCCTCACTCCTCCCACTTCCCCCCGACAGAGGCTCCCCTGCAGACGCTTCACATGGATGTGTGGGGCCCAGCCCCCGTCCGTGGGCAGGGTTACGAGCGCTACTTCCTGTTGGTGGTTGACGACTACTCGCGTTACACCACAGTCCTCCCCTTGCGCAGCAAGGGTGCGGTCACTGAGGTGCTGATCGACTGGATCCGCGAGGCTCGTCTCCAGCTCAGGAAGAGCTTCGGCTCGGACTTTCC